TGTGTGTGCGTGCCCTCTGTGTCATTAATAATCAGACAACTGCGGGGGAAAAAAAAAAAAGAAGGAAAAACCTAACTGTCTTTCATCCCACCAGACAGGAAAATACTTCAAAGTATGGAACCGTCAAGTGCAGGGAAATTCTGGAGCAGCAAAAACTTTTCTGTAATGGCTAGAGTGTCAGTTTGTACAAACAATCTGTAAAAATAATAATTTGGTATCACGAACAGTTGAGGATGTGCTTTGAGCCCTTAGTATATATACTGGGCTGAAGTGAGGTTGGGTGGGGAGGTCCTGGGTACAATCAAAACACAGTGGCAGCATTCCTGTATGTGTGCATTATGCAACATACTTCAATAGTTTTATATATAATGTTTGAATTTGCAAAAATTAAACACATTCCCAAAATCCAACAAGATAAAAGATAAAAGTATGGTATTTCAGATACTAGCATATTCCTATAATGGAACACTGCCACATTGGAAATAAGCGAGCTCCAGACATCAACATGCATTAGACATAATGTTCAAAGAAAAGCAAGCTGCACAAGACTATATGCAGTATGTTACTGTTTACATAAAGTATAAAAAAGCATGCAAAACTATACAATATGTTGGTAAGGATGGAGACATATGTGGTGGAGCTATAACGAAAAGCAAGGGAATGGTGAACACAAAGTCCAGCACAGACGTTACCTCTGGGATCACTGGTGGGGACAGGAGCATGTGGTAATGGAGAGTCAGATGTGTATGTTTTGTACCATGTTGTGGAGAGTGTGAGTCTAGGAATTCTGGCTCCCACGTCCCAGCTCTGGCCACAGAAACTTACACTGTCCTAGAGGAGGGCCTCTGATAGGGTCGGCACAGCCCTTCAGTGTCAGCAGGTCGGTGCAGCCTGTCCTGCGTATCCGTAATACCTACGGCTTGATACGGGCTGGGGGGGAGGGCAGCAGAGCTGGCATGTGCAAGGGTCCACAAAATAGCGTCTTCTAATCTGCATACAGCGAACCTTAGCAAGGGTGTGGACAGCAAGGTCCAAAGCAAACCATCACAGGAAGGGAGTTCCTCTCCTCAGCGGCATGAACCTTACTGTCGCAGGTCTGTGGCACTTGGTCCCAGCGCAGAGGTGCATGCTCTCCTGCACTCCTCGCCGGAAGGCTGAGTTTCTGGCCGGAGGCTCTGGAATTTGCTCCTGGGTTGTAATCTACAGCCGTGGAGGAGAGAAAGCATCCAAACTTACAAAGTACTTATTAACAGAGGATCAAGTACGCTGACCCAAAGAGTATGACACGTGAATTAACAGAAAACAATTATTCTATAAAGATGAGCTAGAATCATTTGTTATGTATGGTGTCAAGGTAAATAATCCTTACGTGAGTAAGGTGGATATGGTACCTCAGATTGGTTTCACTTACTCCATCGTAGATGGTGGAGTAAATGCCAAGTTCACACACAGTCCTAGACACCCCCAGTCCAGCTTTTATGCATATCTCATAATAAATAAGTGGAAAAATTAAAATGGGAAAAATGCAGTGATTACAATGTAGACAATCCCAATTATGTATCAACTGAATGAAGGTATGAACATAAAGTTATGATTAATGTTACACAAATGGCATTTATAACATGAAATAAAATTTCAAGTAATAGCATCATACTTAAGTTTTTGAAAATCTCTATTTCAATAAAACACAGAAAGAAAGATATTCTCTGGAAGAACTCAGAACATGACTCTAGAGATGAAGAAGACATTGAAGTAAAAATTTGAATACATTTTTTTCTTGACATTTGAAGAAAAGCAGTATTTACAAATTAATATATTAACTGCATAATTGTAATTTTACATGTTTGTGCAACTCAGTTGATATATGAAATACTAAAATAGGTGTCTGGTCTATACACCAACTTTGTATGTTCAAATTCTTTGAAAACATTTTAGTTATGTTCTTATTGGAAAAATGGTGCATCACATTATATATGGGTTTGATATGTAATGAATTGGAGGTAATCACAAAGAAGAAACAAGTATTGTTCTATGAACTTTCACACATGATTTTATTTAATCCTTATACATCAATTCTGGGGGAGTTTTACAGATGGGGAAATGGAGATTTAAAATCAAGAAAGTTGCCCAAGACCTCACAGCTGGTCATTATTTGCTGACCTAGGGATTTGTATTCAGTTTTCTCTAATTTCAGAGTTCATATAATATATAAAAGTGTTGTGAGTATAACATTTTTAATAGGAATTCCCCCCTTCTAAGTAAGCAAGGAAGTGGGGGAATGGTACAAGGCTTGTGAAAACCCCCAGTGCGACCTGTTGGTTATACAGAAAACCTCACACCTCCTGTGGTAATGGAAACCTGCCAAGGTTTCATGTATGTATACAAGCAAGGACCTTTCTACTCATGTGTTCAGTAACAGGCTTTTCTGAGAGTTTTAGAATTAATGATGGGTAAAAGATAAAGTATAACTGCATGTGTGTGTTTTTCACTTTGCTTTGGTAAATCTAGAGAAATAACACAAGTCCGTTGGTGCACGTAAGCCCACCGCTGTGTGGTGCACTTCTGGTTAGCACTGGATTAGCCAGAGCACCCAGGCTGATGTCTGAAAATGAAGAGTAAAACCACCTCTTTTGTTCGTGCAGGGTTGACATGTATTCACTGCACTCTATACACATTTGTCCTCCTGGGTAGCTTATGGATACAGTTTCATCACTTCTCGGTTGTACTATGTTCTTATAAATCCCCCTTCAAAGTTTTGTGAAATATTGCATTAAGGCGTCAAATTAAAGTGGCTCAATATAGTTTTTAAAAACCTTATTTTAGAAGTCCAAGAACTGTAAACAAATCTACAACAAAATTAATCTTTTGGAAGGAATAAATGAATACATAATTAAAACAATGAATACATGCAAATAAAACAGGGCAGTAATTTTTTCCTTGTAGAGTAACAAGGTTGAGAGCATTATTTGCACTGTACAGTGGATGAGGCAAGAAGTGCCTTATGCATTGTTTGTAGAAGGGTGTCAGGTTTTAATGCAGGGATTAGAGATTTTACATTGTTCATCCACTAAATGAGAAAAGTGACAGTGATGGGAGCTGAACTGACTTCCAAAAAGTGGAATGTCACACGGGCTTGAACATTTGCTTCCCTAAATCATCAAGAACAATGTAATACCCCACAGTCAGAAACAGAGAGGAAGACGGGATGTGGGAGAACACCCCATACCTAGGACGTCTGAAAACCCGAGACACAGGTGAAATTGAACATCAGTGTTAATGCACTTGAAAGGAAAATTTCATTTCATCTCAAGAGAGTCAGAGCAATACAGAAATAGTTTAGAGGAATAAAACCGAGCAATTGCAATGTACTGTAGAAATGATCTACTCAGATTACAATTTATCCTTTTTTTCTGAAGTTTTAACTACAATAAGATTTCAGAGAGATTCTGAAAGAGGTCATTCAGTAATTACAAAACACAGTCGTTACAGCTTACTCCTTGTGCAGCTTACTTGCTGTGTTCAGATTTAGGCTCAGCTGTAGTTCTTTCCTTCTATCCTTCCTTCCTTCATTCCTCCTTTCCTTCCCCCTCCCTTCCCCGCCTTCCTTTCCTCCTCCTGGTATTATTTACATGGCAGAGAAAAGAACGGGCTGTTTTTCCTTCCTAAAATGAATTCTTTTTTAATATATTTGATTGACTGTCAGTTCCATAAGTTCTGGTTCACTACTATGTTCCTGAAATTGATAGCTGTGCCTGATAATGTGTGTGTGGAGGTCCTTGGTTTGGGGGGGGCAGACAAGAAGATGCTTTTTGCCAGCTGGAGTCTGGATGAGACACAGTCATCCTTCCTACTGCTACCACCAGCAGTGATCCACATGTACCCGAGTTGGACCACACTCACATGTCCTCTTTTCTTCAGGGCATCTCTTGATACTCAGTTGTGGATCGCGTTTCTGTGTGTTAAACGGGATAGTTGGTGATAGTTGGGATAGTTAGGTGAAGGAGAGAGAGCAAGTGGCAGTGGTTTAGTTTTGTCTGCACTTCGGCTCTGGAAAGGCTGTGCGCTGACGGGATGTGCTGTGCCAGCTGCAGACTCACGCCTGATCGGGCAGAGCGTAGATTTACCAATAACCTGATTAACTCCTCCCTTTCCTCATAACCCCCATTTCGGAAGTAAACCATGTCTACTACAGAACAGAGAACTTTTCTGTGCTTTTCCCCGGGGGGTGATTGCTCCCTCCTTCTCCTCTAGAGAAGTTCCTACCAGTTCTCAGGTCCCCACAGGCTGGCACCTCCATAGGGAAGGGTCACAGCCAGCCAGCTTTTGCCTTCTTCCCTCATGCTGATCAATAACTTGACAGTAAATACCCAAAAAGTACAGCGAATAAGTGAACTGAATGAATTGTAAATCTGCTCAAAATTCTTTCACAAAAACAGATCCCCTTCAGAGATCACACGGGTTTCAGATTTACCTGTAAAGTAGGTCCCAGGCAGTTGCCGGGAGGGTTGAAACGGTGCATGAAAACTGTATGGTTCAGTGCGTAGCACGCAGAGAGCCAAATTCATGGCAGATCCTTACCTCTATTAAAAAAAAACCCTTCACTGCGCCCACCATGTGCACCACCCACGTAGAATGTCTCAAGTGACCCGCAGGGACCTTGCTTTTAAAGGTCTCATGCTTGAATGAAGACCCTACCAGGGGCAGGAGGGGCAGAAGTGGAGACAGGTGCACAGCACCAGGGTGTTCCTGCCACTTTGTGAGTTGGGATGATGTATGTAGAAGAGTGAAATGGATTGAGGGCAAGTCCAAGACAGGACTTGGAATGAAGTTAAGGGAGCAGAGGCAGGCTTGCCCCGCACTGAAGGGTGCGGTGTTAGTGGCTGAAACTGTGAGACTGCGTTTCCCAACTTCTGCCTCCTCAGCTCCAGACAAAAACCCTAACAGTTACCCCGAGACCTGAAGAAGAGGGCTCTTACAAATCACCCCAACGGTGGCCGATCTGCTTTTAGCTTTTTGTTTATTAGTAGAGGAGTCGTGGTATACATACAGTTCTGATAACTAGTCTGTGATCTTCAGCGTAGGTTTTCTTTGCTGCATAACTGGGTAGGTGTGAAATAAAAATGAAAAACAAAAACAAAAAGATCCCATGGTTTAGAAGGCTCAGCCGAACCTATCTTTGGAAACAGAATCAATTAAACATGTCACTTGGACTAAGTACAGCACAAGCTCACAAACATTACAGCTCAAGCATGTAGATGTTAACCTCAGAATGTCAGCATCTCTGAAGTTCCTGTCATCCTTTGTGCAACGGGAAAAAAATCAGTCTAGTTCTTAAAATATTATTTGGAATTTTCTGCCAACTTGAAGGGAAATGATACTAGTCAAGTACTGGAAAAAAAAATTGCCTTGGCAGCTATTTTTAGGTATGTTAGACAGGCTCTGGTCTACATTTAAATAAGCAGTAAAGTAGCCCACATATTAAACCCATTGACAAATCTTAGAATATTAGGCTCCCTGACCCCTGGAAGCGCTGTTATAACACACTGCCTGCCTTCCATCCACATTTTCCCCTAAACTAATTATGATCAGAGTTAAGACAACCAAACAGCAATTTTTAAAACTATTGTTAATGTTTACTTATGCATAATTGAATGTGATACACTATCTCAAGAAGGTCTGGGATCCACGAAGATGCACCAAAAACCCTGACTAGTGACGCCAATCAAAAGTCAGAGGCAGACAGCAGGGGTGGCATTTACACAGAAGGGAAAAGAATGGTTTTAAATACTAGTGTGTGAGGAGAGAGGTTCTTCTTGGAGCATTTTTGTGGTAGATCCTCTGCTGGTCCTGGGCATTTGACATAATCATCCTGTTCTTTGCCAGGCATTTACTAATTCTTCTCTGCTTGTCTAAAAAGCCAGCCAATCAGATGCTCAGTGTTTGGGGTCTAGGCCTAATACGTGTGTGATACTGTGTCATTTGCCTAAAACTTGTGCCTCTCTCGGTTTCTACAGATTCAACTGAAGCATCATCATAGATTTATCTTCTTTCTCCTCGACAGATTCCGTTTCCTTCCTTTCTGGAACTTTCACTACAGTAAATTCAGCTCTGGAGATGGCCTGTTCCTTCCTCAGTGAGTAATTTGCATTATTTCAAACTTTTGAAACCAGATCAACATGACCATCACATTGGTTATCTTAGTCAGCAAAACAAACACGTTCTTTCAAAATTTAAAATTTAAATGGTATTATTTTAATTAAAGCTTTTATCGCAGTCGGGTCTAAGTTTGGGGAAATTAATGAAGAAAGGGATTGATTTTTATGGAAAAGACATTTTATAAGTGTTTCCATTGAAAGTGCTGCATAGTGATAATCATTGTCTTATTTACTTTCAAGATGATAAGAATAAAAGTAAGTGTAGAGTCTATTCACATTTTTCCTAGATCACCGCCTAGGCGTGTAGGACCCGGGTGTTCTGAGAGTCGGTCTGTCACCTTAGGTATTGAGACTATGAGGCGGGGGTCCCAAGCGTGAGCAAGTGCACACATATCCAGTGGCTGGGCCACCCCTCACCCACGCACGGCATCCCTCAGAAACAGAATCTGCAGACAGAAGTCTCTTCCTCCGGCACACTTCCCCATGGGGTGGGAGTGGGTGGGCAGACAAGGAAGTTCATTGCTGTGTGGTGAAGGGTGTGGAGCCCATCACCGTGTTAAGCCTGTCCCTTTCTTGCACTATGAAGAACATATTCCCACATCGTCCCCACATTCCCTCCCAGCACTGCTCTTTCGTTTCTCTTTTCCCCATCTCCCCAACTCCACCCCGATTCCCCCACATACTCAGCCTGGCTCTCCTCTGCCTGGGGGTGTGTTTCTGTACAAAGCTGAAGGGAAGGCAGTGGTACCGCTTCTGCTTTCTCTGCTGTTACCTGCACACTTTTGCAATTCTTAACCTTCACCGGACCTAACATTACTGCCAACCTGAAGCCATTTGATTTGATCTGGTTCATGATCTCACATCCTGGGAACTGAAAGCAAACACCAAGACTTCGACCAGTCATGGAAATAGCGCCCTAACCCTCGTCCATGCAGCGATGGCACGTGCTCGTCCCCCGGAGGTGGGAGGAATAATCTTCCCCGAGAACGAGAGCATGGGTTCAGGTCTTCCCTCGCCCTCTCGGCCTGCGTTAGTGCCGTGTGCTCTTCATCCGTCCTGACACTGTGGAGACAAGGCAGGGAGAGTCGCGCAAGGACTCGGATACGGGGGCTGGGGGTGGGGAGGGCGGTCTGCTTTCACGCTGGAATGGAAGAAACATGACAGCCCAGTTGGCTCTACCTGGAATGTAACATATCCACAGCTTTATCACTCTGGAGTCACATCTTGACATAATAACAAACTACTGAGAAAGAACCACTTCTATCCAGGTCAGAATGGCAGACTCCCAAGTGTTAGAGCCTGGGAGGCGGGGGGAGCGGGGGACAGTTTAAAACATCAGGAATAAGACTGCAATCTGCACAGAGATTTTCATCAAGTCTCCGCACTGCCTAATGGTTTGCATCCAGTACGTTGTAATTACTCCAGCATCTAATGGCACAGCATTTTGATTTCAGAGCCGACCAAAATAAAATGAACCACATTTCATGACGACTCCATGTATAATAAGATGCAGATGGCAAAGGAAACAGATGCCTCTGACATCATCGCCCATCCGCCTTCAACTTTTGCAGACACTGGCAGTCTGTAGACTCATTCAGAGGGATGCGAGATAAGTCAGGCAGTTTTCCAATTCTGTTTCCAGGCTAAAAAAACACTGGCAGCAGGGGCACGGCTTTCTTCGAGTCACACAGTCGTAATTCCACAAGACATCTAACTCTAAGGCTGTGTCAGGCTCTCATGCGAAATCAATCATCAGGACAGAAAAAAAAAATCTCCGTGAATATCGGGGGGTTAGCTGTTAGTAATAGTGACTGTTGTGCATGACAGCGACAGACAGGACAGGGTGGGAGTGTGTGAGCATGATGCGAGTATGGGGGTGCACAGTGCAGCTTTCAGGAGACAAACAAAATAGACCAGCAGGTCTGAAACACTGTACCAGGACTCAGCACCCAGTCTTCCGAGACTGATTCCTTATTACTTCTAAGTAAAAACTTTAAGGAGGATTTTCAGGTCACTGTTTCTGACCTCAAAAAAAAACCAAAAACCCATCCTGTACTTCCCTCTATATTTTCCAGAAGGGATCCTATCATTCTGATAGGAGCTTCCACCATTTCCCCAGTGATATCACTGAACACACTACAGGAAAAGGATTTTGTGTGTGTGTGTGTGTGTGTATGTCTGTGTGTGTGCAAGATAAATGTGTTAGGACATTTTTTAAAAAAGATAAGGAACTTCTGTAGTCCAAGAGATGCTTGGGTAAAGCAGTGGCTGCCAGGCCTTTAGCAGTGTGTGAGGTTCCAGGACAGAACAGCACAGTTATAGATGAAGGAGGGAGTTAGACAAAAACCTTTGAAATCTTCCCATCTCCCCTGACCACCATAACAGAACTTCACCGACACCCTCTGCGGCAGAAACGTTTTAGCAGAAAAAAATTCAGAAACAAAGGCAAGGGAAGTGGTGACATAAAAATAAATCCTGCTAGGCCAAATATGGTGCCTATTTTTAAAATAATCTCTCTGTGCAAGTAACAAACTGATCACACACGCGCGCGCGCACACGCACAGGCACACAGTACAAGAATAAACAGACTCTTCTAATTCATATCCACAAAGTGGGTTGGAAAGGATTAGTGCAAACTTCTGCTGACCTGCAGCATTCAGTCCGTAAACTTTGGATATCCTAGACGAGCCATCAGGGTCCAGCAGATGTTTTCAATCAGTTTAATTTCATCTCGAGGCAAGTTCTGTCTCCAGACATTAGTATTAGTTGGTGATATCTCCCCTTCATAGGGAAGATAGAAAAGGTTCGTGGAGGTGGCAAACAATATTTGGTTTAAACTAGCGGGAGACAAAGGGATTCCAAGAAAAGCAAAAATCCTTTCCGTGGTTTTCTGAGGAAAATGCACAATATCCTCAAACTTGATCAGCCGGTAGCTGGTGGGCAGCAGGTCTGTGTTTATCCTCAGGGCCGCCGCAGTGTTCGCACGCCACAGGTGAGCCAGCAGGGACACTGCGTGGGGCTTGGGTTTTGATAATTCTTTCCTCAACGATTCATACTCGAAAGCATAGCCTGAATTTAAGCTGCACTGGCCTTTACCTCCCTCTATTCTAAACAGTTTAGCTAAATGCTCTGGTACATTCTTTAAAGAGTAAAGACTTGGTTTACTGCTGTACAGCATCAAATAAATCCATGCGCGTGGGTCCCTCACTACATACAAGGCCCTCATCGAAGCTCCTAAAACCTCTTGAAAGAAATGCAGCTTTAAGGTCCAGCTTCCGCTGCTTAAGCTGAGCACGGGCCGTGCGCTGGGGTGAGAGACCAGGTGTCTCCTCAGGGCCCGGATGTATTCAGCGTCTCTGTCAAAGGCGCCTTTCATTCTACTTCTTTGTTCTGGCAAAGACTCTCTCCTTTTCAATTTCCTTTTCTTGTCCTTATTCGTGGCAAAATATTGGGCCAGTTTACCCCTACTGGGTTCATGCAGATGGATGTTTTGCAAATGGAGTTTTGTGTCTTGGACCAAGGACTGCAACCAGCCTCGGAGTAAACGGAAATGCACACTGTGGACATCTGACACCTTCCATTCACAGGCGTCTACAAAGGAGTCGATTTCAAACTCCGTTTCGGGGATGTCAATGTAGGCCGTGGGAACCCGGATGTAGAGGAAATCACTACTGTTGAAGAAAAGTTGTTTGAGAATTTCGGCTCCCGAACCAGGAAGTGAGGTAATGACGATGTCGGGAAGGTGGACGTGGTAGCCCTCGGGAGACGGAGGCTTGGCGCTGGCCTCGGCCCCCGTCCTTGCCCATGTCGCACAGATGGGCTGTGTGCAGGCGCTCCACACATCCAGCAGCTCAACAAACCACAAGGCAACAACAAGTATCAGGATCCACCGCATTAGCTTTCTAAAAGAAAGGTAAAATCGCCACTGAAACGTTAAGATCACCAAGCTGATGCACAGAATCAACCCAACTGCTACATTAAATTTAAATCCAAAGGGGAAAATAACTCTGTCTCGTCTTACGGGCTTTACTATTGCTTGAGTGCCCAAACCAAATCGGGTTACTTGGATCTGATCTGCCACACTGGCAAAGCCGCCAAATCCCAGGTAATCGAACCTGGCCTTCAAGTTGTGGTAGTCAGTTACAATGGAAACAACATGCTCGGTATTATTGACATTGAGAGAAATCTGAAGTCCCGAATTAGAATTATCAATAAATCTGCAACTGGAAACATTGACATACGGCCCATAAAAGACATAGGCAATTCTTGTGATTGTGGATTCCATCTGAAACGTAACATTAACAAATTGAGTCCACCGTTTCTTAAATTCAGCAGCTTGCTCTGCTTCCTGTATACTAGCAACGGGGCTGCCGCCACGGTGATCAAACCAAAACATCTTGTAGTGTGCGTCCCACACGTCCATCATGGCGCCATTATACCTGTTCATGAACCTATATGGGATGTACTTAAAGTCAATATCCAGATTATGAAAGAAGGCACTGACAGATTTTATCGGGGAATCGTCTTGCCTCGAGACGTGATCAACGACTAGCAGAGTTTGAGAATTTAAGAGAAGCAAAGCACGATATACGCTCTTCAGCTTCATTGCCGAGGAGTAAGCAGACGCGGCTTCCCCACTCACAAACACCATCTCCCCATGCTGGGAGGCAGTGATGATCTCCCCTGCCGCATCACCAGCCTCCTCCCCGGTCCACCTGAGCCACTGTGCACACTCCCCCAGCTGGCCTTCCCAGGGCTGATTACACTGGCTCGTGGGTGATGGAGCGAACACCAGGACGTTGTTAAGGTGGCTCAGCTTGGGTCCGTAGAGAGCTTCGGAGACAAATACCTGCCCGTTGGGGGCAAAGGTAAATGAGTTCTGATCTGGATGTTCATGTCCTGGGTTAAAGCTTCTCCACCCGTCAATCCAGGAGTATGGCTGGAAGTGAACTATGTCATACACAGCTCGCCCTCCGAGCTTCCCAGACTTAAAAGACACAAAGGTATTGGTCTGTGTGTTTGGCAGCCCAGCCCCGTAAGTAACAACACCCCAGTTAGGGAACGTGTGCATCTTTGCGGTGCCGTATTCCGCAGGAGGCTGTGGGGTGAGCTGGGGGTCGTACCAGATGTATTCAGTGTGCAGAGTACTCCACCTCTGGGCAGTAGAGGGGACCATTGGTCCATCTTTAGGTCGGTGCCTTCTGATTTGTTGAGCTAACCAATTTCCAGCCCCATTCTTTAAGATGAATTTATCCAAAAAAACTAACTGGCTCTCTGGACCATAAAACCAGTTATAATTGGAGTCTGCTATACCCACAGTTCTTTGGAAGCCTGGTAAAAGGGTGGCATAATAGAACCAAAAGTGCATCTTTAACCAGTTGTTATCCAAGTTATTGATGTTAAAATGGCGCTGGGCCAGATAAACATACTGTGTGACCGATTTAGCTGTGTAGCTGCCATAGGCCACACCTTCATCCAGAGAACCATCAACAATATGATTCAACAGAAACATCGTCTTTTCCATCACATCTACTACAACCTGTTTCCATATATTTACTTTAGATCCTTTATCTACCCCAGTCACCAAGGCCCCGGTAAGTAATGCTACCATGTTAGTAGCTTGGTGGTTATGAAGAAGCTGTTTGCCCCAGGCGCGGACCTTGGAATACTCATACATTTCCTCCGTAATGACCCATATTTTTTCTAGGTATTTCTGTCTCCGGTGGTCATCTAGTAAGTTATATAAAAAGTCAAAGGCAGTGGCAAAACCTGTCAAGGAATGGCCCACCGGAACCTCATCGCCTGGTGCGTTCTCAACCAGCCAGTCTCTGTAGCCAACCATCCTGTCCATATACTGCAAGACAAACTCATAGGCAACTTTGTCTTCCGGGCATAACAAACAGTACAGTGCTAAAGGAGGCAGATTGTTACCGTAAATTTCATTCCACTTGGCAGCAAAGTCAGCGTGCTTGGGGGGAGGTAGGTAGTATGTCGGGTTGGACAGCATAACTGTCACCGCACTTCTAATAGCTCTGAAAAGATGCAGATGGCTTGTGCGAGACTTCTGTCTCATTGCCTGGATTTCTCCAGCATCGAAATACAAACGTGGATGAAGCATACTTTTCTTCAGCTTTTGGTTGGGCCTCGTATCTTGGACTTTCTGTGTCTTAAACTGATCGATGTCATCTGTGAAAACTGCCCAGTCGGAGTAATTGCTCACAGACTCCTCAAAAGTAGAGAAAGCAAACATCACTAATGCTAAAAGTAAGAAATGTCCTGTAAACACTAACGCCATGATCCATTGGGGAGTTCCTTTCCTCAGGCATACGTGTCAGACACAGTGTTCAATGTGTTTCCCATCTGCTGAGAATAAAACATACATTTAAGGCCTTGATAAAACAAAGACTGTGAATCGTGTATGCTGTGAAATCCGGCTGACATTTGTCTCATTCAAAACAAGTCCAGTTGCCAAAAAGAGAAAACTTACACTGTGGTCTGTGTCCCTGACACAATCTTACTTCCAGTAAAACTTCAAGAAGTGTTAAAACCTCTAATTTCCCCGTATCATACAGCAAATGGGGGGAGATAGTCAAACATACTATGAATTCATGATTCACTTTGTTGACATAAATCTACCTAACATGAAGAGTCAAAAAACACACACGGTTAAAAAAAAAAAAAAGCAAAGAAAGAGAAAGAACTATCCAAAATCTAAATTAAGAAGTCATTTCTGGCATCAGCAACATCACTGGTGATAAGGTCATCACACAGGTCTGATGCGTTGCCTCTGTGTGCAAAAGGAAGCTGAGGAAGTACTGAAATTCTTGGAGCGGACTGGGTTGTATTCCTCCTCTCAGCTTCTGACACTTCTTGCTTTGAGAATTTTTTCTCCTCCATTTTTGGGAGAAAAACATCCTCAACAAGTGCTCAAAGTCCCACTTGGTTTTAAAACTTTCAAAACTCCTGTCCTCATTTCAGATCTGTCCCTTTCAGGCTTACTTACTCATCAGCCTATTACGACCCAGAGAAAGCATTTTCCCGTCTTCTTTTATCAGCTTCATCTGTAACAACTACAAGAATCTAATCTCTTCAGCCACCTAGGTACTTCTCTTCCAATCATGAAGTAACCACCAACTGGGAAAGAAAATTCCCCTTTCAGCAACAGGGACGTCTCTTTTCTGTTCCTTTTTCATGACACTCCTTTCTGGGGGAAAAACAAAACAAAGAAATTCTCTGAGGCTGCAGATATGCTGGGAGAGGACATAGAAGCTTTAAATGTTCTACCATCTCTCGACAGAAATTTTAAAATCACAGTAAGATCTGTTAACTAAGTGAGCTCAAATGGGTCTTTTTTCTTACACTTTTCAAAACACATATTAGGATAAAAATGAATGGTGTCAGAAGACAAGCAGGTACAAGATAAAACTTTCCCAAGAGTATTTATTTCAACTGCGGCTTGCTTTAGTCATTTAAAATGTGTTTATTCAAATGCAGTTAACAGAGGTGAGTCCTGCTCTTATTCTTGTTTTGATCACAAACGACTCAAGAGACAAAAAGCAAAAGCTGAAAGGACCACGCTGATTCCGGATGAGGGTTTATTTAGCTTTTAAGGGATCAGAAGGTGTCTCTGCAAGGGGAACTATCAGACCGCTTTTCTGGAAGGAGAAATCATGACAATGTGTGGAAGCAGATCTGCTCCGGTCTCTCTCCTGCAGCCTCGTTTTCCATCTTTACAAGAAGCCAGCAGAGGGAGCTCAGACCCAGACGTAAGGCGCTGCTTCGCCGCTGCCCGTCTTGGGTTTGGAAGAACCTAACCAAGTTTCAGTGTTGGACAAGTCTCCTCTCCGTAGGAAACATTAACGCTAGGAGTTTCCTGATTCGCCCCGCCTGTTGCATTTTTTAATTCGCCTCCTACGAACATGCCAAGTCCATCCTCTGCTCCCCAGCCCCGACCTCCGGCTGTGGTCTGGGGACAAGAGACCCCGAAGTGGCCAAGTCCGCTTACCTTGGCAGGTCCGGGCGGGGTCTCCCGGCGGCGGTGGGCCCCAGGG